CAGTGGGTAGGAAGGATGGATGATGGTCCTGGGTTTTAAAGGCAGTGGAGATGCTCCCAACTCAGCTGAAGGGGGGGAAGCTCATACCATCTTTATCCCCCACTAAGTGCAGCTATAAAACCTGGCCAGAATTCATAAACCAGTCATATGAGAATTTTGAAAAGTAAATGATAGCGGTAGATGGGAAGAAGACCTGAATTTAAAATACCATCACACTGCTGGTGAGAACCCCACCCTCCCCCCATAACCCCTGGCCTGGCCCTCAGGTGGCCCTGGGTGCAGGGAGTGACAACTCTGGAAGATGCTTGGGTGCTGGCTTGAGTTCCAGAATAGGCTCCTCTGGATGCTGAGAGAAATGGGGGAGAACTCTCTCTTTTCCCTTTATTTTCATAGCCCCAGAACTGGGGCCATTTTGCTATCCTGGCAGCAGTGGGAGCAGCCATGACAAAGGACTTCAGGTGCCAAAATTACTACTATCAGGAAAAAGAGGGGTCTCCTTCCAGCTCACGGTGGCTGTCATGCCCAGAGGCTTCCCTTTCTCCTCCTGCGATATCCCCGCTCCTCAGTGGACACCCTCGCTGGAACACTGTGGCAGATGAGAAAACCAAGGCCTTTGTTTTCTGCCTAAAGGACTGAAAGAGGGAGCCCCAGCAAACCAGAAAGTACCAGGGATGCTGACAGAGAGGGAGGAGTTCACAGGGAGGTCTGTGGACTCAGGGTTTCGCCCCTTGGTGGCAGCTACATGGGTCTGGCCCTCCACATCATGACCCAGACATTAGGACCTGGACAGGCCAGACCCCGCTCACATCCCATGCCAGCCAAAGAGCGCACACATCAGACAGATAGTTGAGCACTGAACAGCCTCTGAAAACGAAGCTCACACTGTGAGCTTCAGGAGGCTTGTCCACCCCTGGGCCTGAGCTTAGCCGAGTCAGCCAGCCGCCTACTCAACAAATAATGAAGTTCCACCTTGAGGAGCTGGAAAGAGAAGAAGATAATGAATCCCAACCAAGCCGAAGAAAGGAAATAAAAAAGGGCAGACACTGATCACATTACAAACAAGAAAGCAATCAAGAAAAACCAATGAAACTGAAAGCCACTTCTTCAAATAAAAGAATAAAATCAATAAGTGACAATGAAGAGTGGTAAAGATAATAGAAAAAAAAAAGATACAAATTACTCCCATCAGGAATAAAAAAGGATTAAGACTAGAGACCTCACAGACACTACAGGGACAAGGAAATACGATTACCAATTCTACATACATTAATTCATGACTTAGATGCAGTGAACAAATTCCTCAAAAAACATCAAACAACTGTTTTGTTTTGTTTTTTTATAGGAAGGAAACTCACCATGTTAAAATAGATAACCGGAGTAATGATTCCTAAAATAGATCCATTGAGATTCAGGGCCTTGCTAAATTGCCAAGGCTGGCCTCAAACTTATGATCCTTCTGCCTCAGCCTCCCACTGGGATTATAGGTGTGCATCAGCTTTCCTGGCTCTTAATTGTACTCTTAATTGAATTCACTGCAAACTGGAAATGACCCAGATATCTTTCAGCAGGTGAAGGGATAACCACCCTGAAACCTCCTACAATGGAATTCAGCTTCAGCTATAAAAAGCAACAGATGACTGATACATGTAACAATAAATCTCAGGGATGTTGTATTCAATCAAAGAAGCCAGCTAAATAGTTACGAATTGCATGATGCCATTTAAAAGGTATCAAAAATATAAGACCACAGTGAACAATGGTTACCAAAAGCTGGGAACAAGTGGGTAGAATAAAAGGCAGCATTTCTGGGTGATACAGTGATACACCCTGGTTATGGTGGTGATTACAGGAATCTATCCATGACTCAAACCCTTGGAACTGTGTGAGCACCAGTGAGCTGCAGAAAGGCCAATGTTCCTGGATGCTAACTTTAAATATTAGAAAATAAAAGCAAACATAAGAAATATTCAATAAAACGTCAGTCACAGGGAAGTACAACCAGAATCTGTCCTGGGACATGTGTCACATTATATTGTAATCATAGGGTAGGAACTCAATTAGCTCTGTTCCTGGTATGCTCACCCCCTCCACTCCCCCAGGGAAGAAATCTTATCTTTCTGATCTCTAGCTTCAACATCCCACTGAGTATCTGAAATAAGCACTCAATGTTCTTTGAAAGATGAAAAAAATGAATTAAGCATAAATTGGGTCACATGGTTTCATTTTGATGGGAGAAAAGCAGGAGGGAAATGGAACCTAATGAAAGGGAGCTACCAAAGGATAAATGAACGCAAGAAAGAAACATTTTATAGTTTCATACTCTTTGGCATTTGTTAAATAGGAGCTGGTAGCTGGAACATTTAATGTGACTTTTCATGATTAACGAAAGGTAGTTGTGTGTATTTGTGCTTCAAGGAAGACTTTACCAGGAAACCTCTTAATTTTAAAGAATTTGTTAACTTCGTGACATGGCAGATTTGTGGAGAAATATTCTTTGTTTTGTCCTCTAGCAATGAGCCACTAAATACCATTGATTAAAATTCACCAGCTTATGTGTGGTCATATGTGATCAAAACAAAAAAAAAATTGAGAATTCTTCTAAGCATAAAGCTGAAATTTTGCAGGGACTCAGACGTTAGTTAGTAGTACGTTGCAATCCCTCAGAATCCATGCATCACACTGTCACCCCTGTGCATTCTCCCTCCCCCAGAAAAGCCACTAGGAAGCTCGTGAGAAAGGATTACTTTAAAAAAGGATTACTTCAAGCTGCTTCAAGAAAGCAACATTTGCTTGGGGAACAGCAGAAAAAGAGGCTTCTCTGAAAGAAAGGATCATCTGTTTAAAAAGAGAAAGAAACAGAGAGAGGTGCTCTGAACTGAGAATGGCAAATCTGAGAGCCGAAACGAATCAGAAAATCTCAATGCATGATGATACCAGGGCTCTTGACTTTCATAGGGACCAAAGCCATGTTAACATGATTTTTTAAGTATTTATGAAAATAGCCAATAACAGTCTGAGAGTGGATCAAAGCTAAGTTATCATGGCTATAATATAAAAAGACATAAAACACATCGATACACTTGGTCTTTCTCCATTCTCCTTGCTCCTTAGAATCCGATAAGATTCTGTTATCTGATTTTTAAAATAACACCCAGATTAAATACATTTTGATTACATAAATGTTTTATCGGTTATACATAGAAAACCTATAACATGTAGCATTTAATATATGTCACATACAGATATGAAATATTTTCTGATTGATATTTAGGTTTTAAAGATGGACAGGGCTTGCTACAGCCCATGGAGACTATCATGGCAATCCACCTCACTGTGGCACACACACTCCTGGAAGAGACCCGGCGAAAAGGTAAATGCCACCTAAACTGAACCTGTGGTGGAAATACAGCGACTACCGACACATTTCTATTGTTGACATTATCACTGGATAGAGGGATTTGCTATCTATCACTGGAACCAGCAACAGTAAGGATCATTATGAGCCACTCATCAAACTCAAGTTTACTGAACACAGAAAGTAGAATCTGCCCCAGCAATAACCTTCAAATTAGAAATTCATTTTCTTATTGATTTTTGACTGCTCAACTTTAAGCCCCATGAAGCAGTGCTTTGCGGTGTTCACCACTAGGTATACAGCATAAAATAGCTTCTGACAGTAAGAAAATGCAGAATAATTATTTTTTTTTCATGAATATATATTTTTAATACATAAGACTAGAATTGAAAGTAAGATCTAAACTAAACTTCAGGCATTGCTTTTCAATCCCACTAGACACATTCTTCTACTCTTTCATTCCACCAACCAACTGTTGTGGGGTTTCAGAACACTTCGTGTTAGACCTGTGAACAAGGCCAGCAACCAACGCAAAGATCCCTAAGAAGATATTGGCAATGATCTGAAATAGACCTGTCAACAGCAGGATATACAGATAGCTCACTGTGATTAATACCAAGTTAGACCTCGGGAGCTAGAATAGACTCATCAATAGTAAGCTCCGGTGGGGACGTAATTAATTCTGACAGTAAGACTGAGGAAGAAGTCTTTGGGAAGCAATCATTCCAGTGGGCCTTGAGAGATACACACGATCCTGAATGATGAGAGGCAGCAGATTGTCAGTGTTTAAGAGCAGGAATTTTGAATCCCGATTGCCTGAGTATGAATCCCAGTCAGAGTTATTGGCTTTGTGACCTTGGGCAAGTTGCTTAACCTTTCTGTACATCAGATTCCTTGTATACACAACAGAGAATGATTTTGCATAGCGTTGTCGGGAGAGTAAGTTCACATAGGTAAAGCGCCTGATACCTACATAATGCTAGGTAAGTACATAGGAGGTGGAGAAAAGGAGGAGGACAAGACAGAGGGAGGGTATCCAAATATCCTGATGTGAAATCCTACAAAAACATATCTTCCTTTTATTTGGTTGGTTTTGGCAGAAAACAAATATAATATCCCGAGTACACTGTGCACAGACTACTAAATGGGTCTAAGAATTTTACTAACTTGGTCCCAGTCTGGGCCACTGACCTTTCATTACAGTGAGAAATATTCACATACAGACACCCAACACTCCACACATAACATTGGGGGTCCACCCACACATCAAGGGGGTAAGCACTTCCTTCCACTCTACCCCAACCCACAGGCAATGGAGGGGTCTAAGGCTTTGTCCGCTGTCCAAAAAAAAAAAAAAAAAAACAACAACAACAAAAAAAAACAGTGCTTAGTATGGGATGCTGTAGGAGCCCCTGCAACCTGAATGAGACCATTAATCCTAAAGGATGGATGCAGACAGAGAGCATGAAGGGTATCAGGGCTTCCGTTTCAAATCCAAGAAGGGGACCAGACAGCAATCGTGGCCAGGAGGTGTCCTCAGCAGAGCAGCAGACCTGTGAAGGGAAAGGACGCCGCAGGTAGTGGAACCCTGAGGAGCAGGAGAGGTTGGGGACAAAATGTAAAAACGCAATGGCACTGTACTCACATGGAGAAGGAGCCGGGGGGAGCAGACACTCGCCTCAGGTCCGCAGCTTGCACCTGGTGGATGCTAGAGGCGGCGGGGAATGAGCAGCGAAGACAGAGTCAGCAGGACAGCGTGGACAGACAAGGAGCAAGCCGGGGAGAGAAAGAGAGACACACAGAGTTTAAACAGAAATTAAATGAGCGCATCACCAACAATGGTCGAAAGGAAAATCAAGCCAGTCATGGAAATCATCCAGAGAAGCCGGTGACAGCAATGAAGCCGACAGGACACATGGAAGGGGCTGGTTCCAGGCAAGCCACAGACCGACCGGACACAGGCCAATGCGGGAGGGTGGGCTGCGGGCACAGGAGGCGTGGCCATGGGCACCCTTGCTTCATTCAGGTCATCCAGGACACCCAGGAGAGGAGGCACACGCTTCCCCATGGAGCCACTCGCTGGCCTCCCACACCCCTCCTGGAGATTAGCAAAGTTACGCTTTCATCCAGCCTTCGAGATTCCCCAGGCTGTGCAAGAACACTAGCACCCAATTATTAATTATTATTAATTATTCAATATGTATCCTCTACTCACAATAAAAGGTGATCCAAACATATTCTACAGCATCATTATATTTGTGATTTTTTTAGATTTGTTATGTTAGTAATGGTTTCTGAGAAACACAGTGATCGAGATGGCATTATGAATCTCATCCAGGGGCGGGTCACTGATAGGACAGGCACTGGGATCCCAAGGGGGAAACCGAGGGCCTCCCCAAAGAACAGAGACAGATAAACCAGCAATTGCCCCATTTCAATAAACCGTGTGTGTGATGAAAACAACCAAGCCAAGTAAGGGGGCAATCAACACCTAGAACTAGAGAGAAGGGGACACTTAGGGAAAGGGCTACTCCTGGAGCCCCAGGAAAGGAGGACAAAGAAGGCAATGACCAGGAAGGCTGTGAAGCTGAGGAATCGGGCTCTTCATTTCTGGAAAGACCATCTTAGCTGGGTATTGGAAGAGACTGTGTGAAGGGCAGCAGCAGGGAGTGCAGGGAAATGAACCCCGAGATATTTCGGCCATGCTGCAAGAGGTAACTCATATGGCCTTGGAACTAAGGCTGTCTTACAAGGAAAGAAGACACTCGGGGAGAGAGTCAAAGACTTGGGCAACAAATAGAAGGCAGATCTCAAAAAGAGTGGTGGCTAGTGAGCAGATGTCAAAACATGCACTTGACTGAGATGACCCCAGGGGTCACTGTGAGTGAGTGGAGGGTGGTTCCATTCACACACATGAATGGGATAGGCTCACGTGGATGGCAAGAAGGAGAAGCCAAGGAAATCATTAAAGAGTCCAGGTTCCAGCATACAATTTGAGGATGTTATGGGATACTAAGGTAAAAATGTGAATTAAGATATTTGGGTATGATTTTTCGATTTTAAGGGGAAAAAACAAAAACAAAAACCCAGGCTGAAGTCAGAGGTCTAAGATGCAACCTCCCAGAGAAAGGTCAAATTCAGGAGGAAGAGCAGCACTGTCCTGGTGAAAAAGCAGTTGTGCAGGGAGCCACAGCCCTGAAATCTCAAGCCGTCCCAGTTCCATGCTGTGTGACAGGCACATTCCTTAAGATGACCTGAATGGCTGGCCTTCCCTTATGGGGAACACACACAGGTGTGTCAGCTAAGATTCTAAAGACACTGTAGAGCAGTTCCCTTTCTCCTCTAATAGGAAAGAAAGGAGAAATAAAACAGAAAAAATAAAATAAAATAAAACAGAAAAAAAATTTAGTCCTAGTGGATAAAGTAAGAAGAAAGGAAACAAGGAAGAAAGGAGGAAAAAAAACAAAGGTAGGCAGGAAGAAAGGAAGGCAGAAAATAAAGGAATGAAAAGTCTTCCAAGTAGCTCTTCTTTACATGCAAGAGTGAACTTCACACACAATAGCTAAGTCAGAGGAATGCTTGGAGTGCCAGTGGTCGAAGGAAAAGTCTTAAAGGCAAGCCCGACCTTCAACTTGAAACTCCCTCCACTTGGAAATCCCATGGAAAAAGTTAGATTTCAAAACCTGACTTCCAGTGAAATAGAAGCCATCTAAATGCAAAGGGTGAATGAAGATCAAGGTGAAGGAAATCCATTCAGTGAGCAAATATTAACTAGTAACTAGGTTTTTGCTTTCTTTTAGAAATGTGCTATCTGTATTGATATATTTAAACTGTGGTGTTGAATAATAGTTTTCCATCTGTACTAATAAAATATTTGGTTTTTATTCATTTTTAAATTATTTTTTAAGAAATGAAAAGCATGTTTTTACTCCCATTTTACATAAATCTTTCCTAGGCCTGGGGTTGTTTTGATGAAAACACCACTGCCCCCTGGTGGGGATAAAGTAACTGCATTTTTGAGGCTGCTTCTTAAATACCTGCCCAGCTAAGTACAGGAAATGACATCATGTGTCGTATTTGCCATGAGGACAAAGAAGGGGGAAAAAAGAAAAACTACCTGTATTTAGATTTACATGAGAAGAAAGCCCATGTAAATTCTAAACAATATGACTACTTAGCAAATCTTAATTCTTAACAGAGGGTAAGAGTCGGAATTGAAACACTTGAATACAACTTTGTGTCTATAAAATACAGAAACACTAGGCATGAGGCTGTGAGCTCTTTGTTTATAGACATCAAAGACATTTAGCTTCACGATCTCTTTAGACTATCTATCAGTGTGACCCGACCCCATAGGTTATGGTGTAACTTCAGAAGTGGCTTTTCATTTATTAGTTCATAGATTTCTGCCAAACCAATGGCTCACAACCTCACTCTTTCATTTCTGGAGGAAATGTGGTGAACCAGGTACGACTGCTGACATCCCACCTTTGAAACATACAAACTCAGCAATTATATATTCAACCTAGAAAAAAAGGACAAAGTAAGAAGGATAAAAAGCATCAGGAATGGGCTAGGAGTTTCATCAGCTGCAAAATGTAAATAAAGCAAGAAATTTCACTCCACAGCAGCTCTGGAAGATGAGCTGGGCAACATTCCAGAAAAATCCAGGCTCTGGGAGAGAAGGAAGGAGAGGACCTCTCCCCCAGCCTCGGACTCGGAAGCAAATGCCAACCACAACATTTGCAGAGCCCTGGCTGCCGCCCTTCCTAGACACCTGCCACCCCAGAGAGGTTACGGGAGCCATGGCGCTGGTATCAGCGGTTATTCTAGGAACTTCTGTGGATTATCACCTTGACTCTAGGAACAGGTGGCAAAGCATGTGGCTTTACAGGCACTACTGAGGAAGCCAGCCATTCAGTACAAACAGGAACCATGCATCACAGGCCACAAACAGGAAGAGTTTCTTGAGGGTCGCTCACTGTGACAGAGAATGGCTCAAGCTAAGCCCTGAAATGGCCTTAGGCATAGGGACATGATACACAGAAAGTACTCAAAAAGTGCCCCAAAGCCCCTTCTTTCTCCATCTACTTCTCTAATCCCAAACAGACAATTAAATCACCAATTGGAGTAAAGCACATCGAAAAACAAATATGCATTCTAAGTTACTGAGCCATGATTGCCTTACCTCAATTCACTTTATCAAAACACCTAAAAACAGGAAAAGAGCCCCATAGGGATACCAGGTGTTTAAGAGTAGAAATAATAGGTCTGGTTAAGTCAGGATTGTAGGATGCTGCACAGAAAAGCAGAACTGAGCTGAGGCACCAAAGTCCACAGGACCCCAGATGGAAACACCAGGAAAGGCACCATTCACCAACAGGCAGAAGGGGTTGCAAAATGAAGAGGCAAGCCACAGGTCAGCACGGCCAACCTCTGTTACTGCAGAAACACCACCCTCCCAGGGACCCGAGTAAAGAGCAGGCCAGTTGCATGCCCCTTAAACCCAAACCAAAAGAACGCTTTAGGTGGGTACATTGTATGACCCTAAAATCTCTCTTAATGATTTTTGCCAGGATATGTGTGCATCCCAGTGGCCCGTGAAGAATCATCTGTCATACAGTAACAAGTAAAAGGGTCAAGGGATCCTTTAATAAACAACAACAGCCAAAAAGAATATGTTCCCAGGAGAGACACCAGGGACTGCTGAGTTTCCTAGGCTTCTCTCCCCTTCCCAACAGCGCGGTCCCAGACCATGCACATGCTCTGCGACCTGCTCGTCAGGGTCTTCATGGGAACCCGGGTAGGCGAGGAGCAGACTCACTCATTGAGTAAAGGCATGGAGGTTCTCCTCTTGCTCTTCTGTACCATGTTGGCCTGATTCCTCAAGGAGATCCGAATCATGGCCGGGGCCAGCCTACAGGGCTCGCCGTCCACTTGCATGGGGATGGACTTGTACGTTAGAAGCATGACCTCTCGACACTGGTGCAGCCTTTCTCCATGGCCCCCGACTTGCAGGGCAGCCTGCCAAACAAGTTGAAAGAGAGCCAGAAGTTATTCTTACTTAAGAGAACTAGAGACCCCATGTCCAAAGGGATTTTGATGAACATACTAAAATTCACTAGCCGTCAGTGTAAGAAGAAACGTCAGATAAGCTATTTCTACCAATCAGCTAAATAGTCGAAGCTCTTGATGAGTTTATCATGAATTTCCACCGATCACCACTTTTTATTTTATGCATTTTAAATCTAAATTTGGCCACGCTATTCTACTACAAAAGCTTTCCCTTTGTATTAATCTATTCCCATTAAATAACCGATGTAAGTACTACAAAAAGGATATAAAGAAGCGAAAGTATACTGTGATTAATTTCTAAGTTATATTTATCCCATTCTTAATTCTGCAGCCCATCCTTGGTTATTCTTCCAACGTGGGGAGGTTTTTCCTTTGCACATTAACCTTCCTCAAACTATTTCTAACCTGTGTAAGATAAATAGAATGCAAAATGGTAATTACTCAATTAAAAACACTCTGGAGAGCTTTGAGGATCAAAATAAAAACATCACAAGAGCTCAGTTCACCTTGGTAGCCACAGAATGAAGAGTCAAGTTAACACTGACTCTGAGTCAAGTCAAAATTCCCCTGAGTAAAAAAATATGCCTTTGGTATCATTTATCCTTTCAGGGATGAATGAAAATCATACATTAAGGTGCATGATATGCATAGATTACACAAATTTTATTCAACAGCTTAATGAATATTTGCATACAGTTAGCATAAAACTTTATCTGGATCAATCTTTTAAAATCTTATAACAGCCAAGAGGTTTCCACACACCCCTTTGACATTTACCACTGTCCTCCTACCAACCAAGTGGCAACCACTATCGATTTCTATCACCATGGGTTCATGTTGCCTGAACTGGGACTTCATAAAAAAGAAATCACATAGTCTGTAACCTGTGTCTGACATCTTTTGTTCATTTTTATGTTTGACTGACATTTAGCAAATTTTATTTCTTACCAATGCCTTGGCAGGTGGACGTTTGGCTATTGGCAGTACACATATTTTAGTGGATATATACTCTCCTAGGTACATAGAATGGAGTGTCATTACTTAAGGTGAATGTTTAACTTTAAAAGATACTGGCAAATTTTTTTTTATTAACTTATAATGAAGTAAAAGTTTAAAAGTAATCAAACCCTTACTTTAGCACAAAAATCTAAAAGACTGACTCTCAGGAAAAGGGAAGTACTTTATCAGCGTGTTGCCATAAGGCTCTTTATGAGCAGAGGGAGAAAATCTTATTAATTGAGATTTCTATGAAGCCAATTTGCATTTACTTGACTGCCAGATAGTTGTCCTTATCTGATGTTTTGAGTGGATTTTGCATTAATCTGAACAATATAAAAAATGACTATAAATGCAAAGAGAAGGAAAAGACAGAGACAAAAAGAAGGGAAATAAAATAGAACAAAAACCAAAACATAGCTTACTGAACACCTTCGATGCTGCACATGCTGACCAGAGGGCTTTACACACACTTTTATTCCATTGGTGGGAGAACAAGAGAGCAAGGGGAGCTTCACTTTGGACTTCCACCTGATCCTCCAGGATTTTTTTTTTTTTCTATCTAAGCTGTGGATTTGAACCACTGTCTCTCCTTCAAAAATTCCCCAATATATTTCCTCTGCCTTTTTGTACTTTTCAGCCCAATATGTACCTGATATTATCCATTTCATCCACTAGAGGAAATACCGTTTTATCTCCCCCAAACCTCACCTTAACTAGGCTGAATGGCAGCTACAAATGCAAAATTTGCCAGTTAAGAACGTATTCCTCTGAGTTTAACAGAACTGAAAATTGCTTCAACACCTTCCACCTCCTTAGAATCAGGGGGCCTAGAAAGCACTATAAAGCACTTTGAAGCCATCTTCTCAGACTAAAAAATAGGACAACAATGGAAACAGAGAGTACTCCTTATCCAGGATGCTTAGGACCAGAAGTGTTTCAGATTTCAGATTTGTTTTTCAAAATTTAGATTATTTGGATAACCATAATGAAAAATCTTGGGGAATGAGATTCAAGTCATTCGCCTGTCATAAAGTGTACTCCTTTACAGCTATAGCCTAAAGCTAATTTTAAATGTTATTTTTGGTGTGTCCACATTTTGATGTTGGGCACGTGAGATCAGATGTGAAATTTTCAGCTGTGGCACCCAGTGGATGCTCAAAAAGTTTTTAATTTCACAGCTGGTCCCATTTGGGGTTTTCAGATTAGGATGCTCTACATGTTCTACAAACAAACAGAGTTCAATCACTATCAGTGCCAGCTCTCTGGGCCCACCAGCATCTACCCAAGATCACTGCAGGCTCACAAGAGGAACCACCATCATCAGCTTGCAGAATAAAGACACTTCTCCTACTGTAAAAGACACATGTTCAATGATTTTGGGGACAAATTTAGGGCATACGTAATTTTAAAAACACTGAGTAGCAAAATTTATTTTTCATCTCTCAGAGTGGTCAAGGCTTAACATCCTATATAGTTACAGGTCCTGTTATGGTTTGGATGTGAGATATTCCCCAAAAGTTCACGTGTGAGACAATGCAAGAAAATTCAGAGGAGAAATGACTGGCTTATGAGGGTCTTAACCCAATCAGTGAATTTATTCCCTTAGAGGGATTAATTGAGTGATAACTAAAGGTGGGCACAGTGAAGCTGAAGGAGGTGGGTCATTGGAGTGTTCCTTTGAGGTTGACATTTTGTATCTGGCAAGCGAATTCTCTCTGTGCTTCCTAACCATCGTGTGAGCTGCTTCTCTCCACCACACTCTTCTGCCATAATGTCCCGCCTCACCTTGAGCCCCAAGGAACAGAGCCTGCTATCTCTGGACTGAGACCACTAAAGCCCTGAGCTCTCACACTTTTCCTCCCCTAAAATTGTACTGGTTGGGTCTTTTAGTCACAGCAATGAAAAAGCTGACTAAAACAGCCACCAAGAGCCACACACACCTATGATTTCCTAGAATGAATCCTTTAGCAATAAGATGACACTGGTTTATTTAGAATGCAATTAACTATTGAACTTGGCATATACTACTCTTGTAACATTTCAAGTATTGCCTTTCTGGAGAGGAAGTCCCTGAATAAATGCATCTCTTGTCACTTAGTGCCCTACATGACTTTTTTGGTCCACAGCTATGACTTGAGATTCTGTCTCTCCTCTCTGTATTATTCTCTTCTTCTCCTCTCAAGCCTTCTGCTTGTTTACTCAAATCCTTACTCTACCTGCCGTGGGTAAGCCCTGTGTCATAAAGCAAGAGCAAGTGTTACAAGTGTTACCCCCCCCCCATTCCTCATCCCTGCTGCCAGCCCTGCCCATCAATCAGCCTCATCCCGGATGAGGATGCTCAAGGCAGAAGTCAGCAGCTGGCAGAGTAGACAACAGAGACCATCAACAGCACTAGAAGCTGTTTGTCTTTTGGAGATCAAACCTGCAAACAAACCTCTTGCCAGACTAAACAAGAAAAACACTAATTTGAATTACTTTTAGAAAGACGGAAGCTAGCTAAGGATAAAACAGAGAATTTTTGAAAATCACTAAGAATGTTATGAAGGCAATCAATTAGAAAACCCAGATAAGAAAATTTCAGGAAAAACTGTAATTTGAAAACTTTTGCATAACAAATACAAAAATTGAACAGATTAGAACTATTTTAAAACTTGAAAGAGCAAATATTATTCCCCACTTCACACATCATCACAATAAGATTCCCTCAAAAGGTATTTCTGGTATTTAATTTGAATGACATTGAATTTTTCTATTAATTTGGAAAAATTAGGATCAGTAGTGTATTGAATTGTCCTATTGATGAATATATCACAGCTTTCCACTTATTTTTCTCTTATATCCTTCAATAAAGTTCTAAAGTTTTCTATATAAAAGTTTCATGTATTTACTGATTTTGTTAATATCGTAAATGACATATCTGTTCAGATATTGCTAGATTGGTGGAAGACTGTTGATTTCTTTTTAACAGAATAGGCTATCAGCCATCTTTCTTATGACTTTTAATAGTTTGTTGTGAATTTTCATGGAATTTATATGTATGGGATAATATCAGTGGAAATGTTAGAAAGTTTGCAATTTTTTTCTTCTAATTTCATTTCTGTGACTTATTTTATTGGCCAAGCCTCCAATTTTATATTGAAAACTTTTTGAAGACAGACTGATCTTTTTAGAAGGAAGAAGAATTCTACCACCAGAAGACTGTCTTCAGACTTAAGCTTCAACATCAAGTCTTCCGGGGTCTCTAGCCTGCCTGCCCAACTAATCTCTCCAATCTTTCTTTCTTTCTGTCTCAACACATACACATACATGCACTTGTGCACACAAGTTATCGGTTATTTCTCTGGAGAACCATAACTAATATACTTGTGAAATGTATTAAATTTGAAGAACAAAAATCCACAAGTAACAGAATAGTTTGAAAGAAGAAAGAGCAATAGATAATAAACTTCCCCTATTAGATACTGAGATATGCAATATTTTAAAGATACACTAATTAATTAAAATAATGGAAATGAATAGAAAGAACACAATAGACTCATATGGGTAAGAATATGGAATTTGTTGATGTGGCATTACAGATTATTGAAGAAATGATGGCTAATTTAGCCAATGGTACTGGTTAATATTTCATGCTACATACAGAAAAATAAAATCAGTACTTTACATCATATACAAAGAAAGAATAAATGAAAATAAAAATATAAAAAGTAACAAGCTGAAAGAAAGAAGGCAAGTATTTTTTTCCACCTGAAATAGTTTGGAACTCAAAAGTACTCCAAAAGCCTATGTTACCGACTCAGTCCATAGGCCATGACACTACTAGGAAGTCGTGGAACCTTTAAAAGATAGAGGTTACCTGGAGAAAGTTAGATCATTAAGGACATGCCCTTGAAAAAATATTGGGACCCCACCCGCTGTTCTTCTTCTCTTTTTTATTTACAGCCATAATG